TCCAGGAATCAACCTTGGATTTTGCCACTGCAATGGCTGCCGGCTTGCGTGCCCCGACGTATCGCACTCGTGTAGATGGCTCCTTGTTTCCAAGCCATTTCATGAACGCAGCTTTCTTCTCTTTAACTGCCAGTTGTACCTCTCGTGTCCACCATGAAGATCTTTTCTGACCTCCCGGTGGTAGGCCAACCCGTTTATATCCGCAGGAATCGGCGGCAGCGCCGAGTAGGCTTCTCTTAAACAGCTGCCACTCGGTTTCAACATCAGTTGTCATCGCTGGGATCTGTTCAAACCGTTGTGTGGTGTTGTTTGCAAATTTCGCTTTCGGGTCCACCGAAGACAGTTTCCTATTTGATTCTTTTTTTTGCTTCTGCCACCGGATCTTCTAATAATACTCCATTTCTTACTGCGCAGCGTGCCAACAACAAGGTGATGATCGTTGATAGCTCTGCGCCTATCTTAACACGAACATCCAGTACTAAGCGTCTTAGGTCAGACGATACGATTATCAAATCGATCATCGACTTCTATGCACAAGCTTCCCGGTTCCAGGTGTACGGATGCACTTTTCGATGCTCGAAGAAGGTGTTCATAATAGACAATCCGTTGTTTGCACAAAACCGCAACAACTTCATGCCGTTATTATTGAGGTCGCTAGAGCCTTTTTTCGCAATCACGCCGTTCCGTTTTTCAGCGTCTATTCGACGTGCGCATGAAAATCGCCCATCAATATGAGGGACTCTGTATTCGGCACTTCGGGCAAAGCACGCTGCACTTCCTCGAGGAAGGTCTGATATTCTCCCTCTAAATTGGACGCGTAGACCTGTACTAAAGCCATCGATTTAGCCTGTTGTAGCTTCAGTCATAGCATTACCACCCTTCCGCTGATAGGCTTCCTATCGATAATTCTATCGGCAAAGTTGGGTTCTACCAGAACGCCAACACCGATCTGAGTGTGAGTCGTGATATCGACGCCTAAGTGGAACAGCTTCCATCCATTAAGGTTCGGGAGTCCAGAGCCTGGTCGTTTTGTTGACGAGAGTCCAACAGTGTCGAGTTGGTACTTCGTGGCCTCATCAACTAATTCTTATTCTTTTCTTCTGAGTG